TGTACTTTCTACTTCTTACATGTTGAACTCAAATACCTGTACTTTCTACTTCTTACATGTTGAACTCAAATACCTGTACTTTCTACTTCTTACATGTTGAACTCAAATACCTGTACTTTCTACTTCTTACATGTTGAATCCAAATACCTGTACTTTCTACTTCTTACATGTTGAACTCAAATACCTGTACTTTCTACTTCTCACATGTTGAACTCAAATACCTGTACTTTCTACTTCTTACATGTTGAACTCAAATACCTGTACTTTCTACTTCTTACATGTTGAACTCAAATACCTGTACTTTCTACTTCTTACATGTTGAATCCAAATACCTGTACTTTCTACTTCTCACATGTTGAACTCAAATACCTGTACTTTCTACTTCTTACATGTTGAACTCAAATACCTGTACTTTCTACTTCTTACATGTTGAACACAAATACCTGTACTTTCTACTTCTTACATGTTGAACTCAAATACCTGTACTTTCTACTTCTTACATGTTGAACTCAAATACTTGTACTTTCTACTTCTTACATGTTGAACTCAAATACCTGTACTTTCTACTTCTCACATGTTGAACCCAAATACCTGTACTTTCTACTTCTCACATGTTGAACACAATACCTGTACTTTCTACTTCTTACATGTTGAACTCAAATACTTGTACTTTCTACTTCTTACATGTTGAACTCAAATACCTGTACTTTCTACTTCTCACATGTTGAACCCAAATACCTGTACTTTCTACTTCTTACATGTTGAACTCAAATACCTGTACTTTCTACTTCTTACATGTTGAACTCAAATACCTGTACTTTCTACTTCTCACATGTTGAACACAAATACCTGTACTTTCTACTTCTTACATGTTGAACACAAATACCTGTACTTTATACTTCTTACATGTTGAACTCAAATACCTGTACTTTCTACTTCTTACATGTTGAACTCAAATACTTGTACTTTCTACTTCTCTCATTTCCCAAACAGCTGGTTCCTTTAGTCTGAATGTGTGTTTGATGCGTGATCATTATTCTTTAGAGTCATTGCGTGTCTATTGATTTGAACACGATCCGTGTATCCATCATTTCCTGGTCTTCTCTAAAGAAGAGGGACCAATGGAAACGTTGTCATGTTGCCGTTGTTCAGCATGGAAACATTCATTAGCTAACAATGACATTATTGTTCTATTAATATAAAGGGAGGTCAGGTACTCTTTAAAGCAGCTGCTAGTTATGGGTACTTTTTACTGAAGTACATTTCAAAGCCTCTTTACTTTGACTTGAGGAAAGAAGTTTAGTCAGTACTTCTACTTTCACCAGAGTATTTTTAAACACGAGTATCTGTACTTGAGTAAAGGATGTGTGTACTTTTGCTATCTTGAATATTTGACGCTCTGATAAATGAGATGCATGTGTGGTCTGGGGGTTTTTGGGGGAGAGGGGAAGGGTTTGTGAGGCGCACCGGGGACAAAGGCTTTTTAAATGAATGCACCTCAGGAGCAGAGGAGAGGTGGAGAGGCTGGAGAGAAAAGAGAAAGCTCGTGGAGAGCCTTGCTTTTTCATTTCTCCAGAGATAGTCTGGTGAAAAGCCTCCCTTTGTGCCGCTGGCCATTCAGCCGCTCTGCATGTTAATTGCAAACAAGGCGTGCACGTCTCTCTAATAAAAGGCAAGGCCAATAAAGAAGGAGCACCGCTGCTTCATTAATCCACTGCAGATCCACTCATGCATGAAGAAGGATGTGACCATTAAAAAATGTCTGACAGATACCTGGTTAACTAACTCGACCAAAAGGGAAGAGTTTCTGGTGTTTGTGTCCCATTAAAAATAAGAGGAATAGACACAAGAGAACTGGATTAATGGGTGTTAAGGCCGATTTTTTGCCTTTCCTGTTCGAGAGAGGACTCTTTAAAGTAGAGACACTACATACTGATATACACCTGAACATCAGCAGGAGAGGACTCTTTAAAGTAGAGACACTACATACTGATATACACCTGAACATCAGCAGGAGAGGACTCTTTAAAGTAGAGACACTACATACTGATATACACCTGAACATCAGCAGGAGAGGACTCTTTAAAGTAGAGACACTACATACTGATATACACCTGAACATCAGCAGGAGAGGACTCTTTAAAGTAGAGACACTACATACTGATATACACCTGAACATCAGCAGGAGAGGACTCTTTAAAGTAGAGACACTACATACTGATATACACCTGAACATCAGCAGGAGAGGACTCTTTAAAGTAGAGACACTACATATTGATATACACCTGAACATCAGCAGGAGAGGACTCTTTAAAGTAGAGACACTACACACTGATATACACCTGAACATCAGCAGGAGAGGACTCTTTAAAGTAGAGACACTACATACTGATATACACCTGAACATCAGCAGGAGAGGACTCTTTAAAGTAGAGACACTACATACTGATATACACCTGAACATCAGAAGGAGAGGACTCTTTAAAGTAGAGACACTACATACTGATATACACCTGAACATCAGCAGGAGAGGACTCTTTAAAGTAGAGACACTACATACTGATATACACCTGAACATCAGCAGGAGAGGACTCTTTAAAGTGAATACTTGCCTGCAGTGAACAATAATCGGGCAGGATCGACCCCGGTAGCACTTGTTAACCTTCCTGCAATAGAAAAAGAGAAAAGTGGATGTTATGGTGAGCATTGTGAGCATGAAGGCTGCTAACGAGGACTCTTTAAAGTAGAGAAACTACGTACTGAATAATTAAAGCGAGGGGTGACTCATCAAAAGAGCAAACCTGCCTCCTGTTAATCAAACCTCTTTAATCTGTAAATCAGTGATAAAATAACACTGCGATGGTTGCCACTAACCCTCGGCTTATTATGGGATGTTTTACACCACAGACACAGTGAGGGCCAACGAGCCTTTTTCACACACCCAACCCCCACCACCTTCTGTTGCCATGGAAACTGACTACAGCGAGAGCGTCCGTGCATTTCCACTCTTTTTTTTTTTATACCTTTCAGCCACCTTTTGTATATGATTTCTTATAACCATGCAGAGCTGTTTGGAGTTCCCATGCAATCAAGAGGAAGGCGCAGTGAGGAGGAGGAAGAGGAGGAGGAAGAGCAGGAGGTGCACAGGCCTGGCTGAGGAGACACAGTTTCCAATGATCACTTTTGTGACTATGCAACTGGGCTCATATTACTAGCTGCAGCATCACAAAAATGACACTGGCAACCGCAAGAAACCGTGAGAAACACCGAGAAGATCTGAGAGTAAAGTCAGAGCTTTAGATTCCCAACACCCACACCACATATTGACAGCCAATAGCAAAGGAGAACCTGCTCAAACCTGCGCACCCACACCTACAGGATAAGCTGGAGGTGTGGCTTTAGCATCCTCAAAAACATCAAGGCTTCGAAATATCAAATTCAAATTCAGACTTTTTTGACTCTCATTGACTCGTTTGTAAAAGAGGATACCAAAAGTAAAATAAATAGATATTTTTATCATATTTATATATATATATTAATGTAAAACATATATATATATAAATGGAAAAATAAATAAATATAATACAGTTAAGGGAAAAAAGAAAAAAAATATTTTCAAATAAATCTGAAAGAATTAAAAATAAAAATATATAATCATTCTCGCATTTGATACCAACATTTAAATAAATAAATATTTATGTTTTATTTACCTATAAGATACATGAATAAAAAAAATATGATATAAAGAAGGAAAGATAAAATAAAAATAGAACAAATGATTTTTTTGTGCAGAAAAACCCATTTTCTCTCGCAGCGTTTTGTTTACATGCAACCTTTGAGTTAGGGTTTAAAAATGAAATCAAATAAACAAACTTTTCTTCATTCGATATCACAGATATGCACACCATGACAGCATCCTTTCCTTCGCCCTCATCTGCATCACAAATAAGGGACAGACACCCGTCCACCAATCAGATGCATCGACTCTGAATTTTCCTCATTTGCAGGCTTTTCCTTTCCCTCCTGGTTCTCCCAGAGGACCTATTGCTGCTCTTCTGCCAGAACACATTACATGGAGAACACAGCGAGGTTATTCAGTCACTAGCGTTCTTTATTTTGCGAGACAGGCTTCTCATTTAATTGGCTGCCTGAATTAGCGTTTTATATTCTTCTCTTCCCAAGCCAAGCCAAGCCAAGCCAAGCAGTGCGGGGCGGTTAATTTGCTGCATCACATGTTCTGGAGGGAGGTGAAGGAAATAGGCCCGGGATGAAAGGGATAGCACAGAAACCTGATCAGAGAACAACCGGGACCCCCACAAAAGCAGAGGGGCAAAGAAAGAGGGTGCAGACAGGAAACAAGAGGAGGAGATTAAAACATCAGGTGGAGATCTTCAGGGTCTGAAGGTGCGTTCACAGCGGAGGATAAGCATTTTCTGCATGTCGTAATATGTTAATATTGTTGTTGTTGGTATCTACATGGTGAGGTAAGCCCCGCCTCCTTGTATAGTTTGAGTGACGCGAGTAAACACCAATGATGTCGTGGTGTGAACGCCCCATTTGAAGAGGATTTTTTTTGCAAGTAAAGTCAATAGAGAGGCGAAGTCCCTCCCCTTCCTCCATGGGACCTTATTTCAGAAAAAGTATGTATTGAAGTCAATGGAGAGAGAAAGATTATCTCTCAATCCCGTTTGAATTGTGCCACGAATTACACATATGATGTTTGTCAATTTAAAAGATAATTTTTCAAGTCAAACAAATTAAAATGTGTCGTCAAACTGTGAAGTAACACTTTGTTTGTTTGAAACCGCTCAATGAACTACATCTCCCGTCTCGCTCCACACACCAAGACGGCCGTCACGTTGAAACATTTCACTTCTTTCTTTCAGAACGAGACGGAAAGTATTAAAAGAGGTGAAAATCACTCCAAGTCTGGGCGCGTTGAGAGCTGTGCACACACACAAGGGGAGTGAGTCGGTTCCGTGAGAGCCAGCATGCGGGACCGGGACTCTGGGATTTGTAGTCTTTCTAGTTGCGTATTTTTCATAGTCTTATATTTCAACAGTTTTACGACAAACTGTGACCTTTTTGACGTGGAAATAATTTTTTAAGATTGACAAACATCATATGTGTAATTCGTGGCACAATTCAAACGGGATCGAAAGATAATCTTTCTCTCTCCATTGACTTCAATACATAATTTTTCCGAAATAAGGTCCGATGGGTTGGAAGTAGATGGGCGGGACTTCGCCTCTCTATGCAAAGATGCGGATAGTCAGTTAAAAAAATGTCAACTGAAGAGATAAATTAAAGCCAATCAGCGGTGAGAATCTCAGCCTGTCGTCATAGCTGACTCAGGAAACCAAACAGCAGCCGTTAGCTGTTAGCCGTTAGCTGTTAGCCGTTAGCTGTTAGCCGTTAGCACACAGAGCTCACAGTTCCTCATATCTGTTCATGAACTGGAGAAACATCAGAGTGTATACACGTACTAACCCCAGACTGTCTGTGTCTCTGCTTTATTTCTGTCTGTATGACGTTGTTGTGAGTGTGGACAGAGCAGCTACATGTTAGCTTAGCCTAGCCTGCTCCGATCTGCATTCAGAAAACATCTTAAATGTTTTTTCCTGCCGTCTTGTAAGCACACTTACGTATAGCTTTACTTCTGCATTATTTTTGAGACATGCATCGCAATTAAATCACGGGGTAATGTGTTAATTGTATTGTTGTTGGTATATCTACATGATGAGAAAAGCCACGCCTCCTCGTCTAGTTTGAGTGACACGAGTAAACACCAATGAGGGTCTCCACTTTACCTGCGGAAGTCTAGAAGGGTCCGGGCAGAGTTTGGGATCCCGCGGTCCATCCAGGACAGGAAGTGGAACTGCGTGACGGTGCGAGTCTCGTTGGTCTGCAGGTTTTTCAGGTAGAAGCTGCGCACCAGGAAGTCCTCGCACCAGATGTGCTCCGACACCAAGTTCACCTGGGAAATATAACGATTTAGTGAAAGATTTAGCAAGGATATACAAATGTAATCTATTATTATTATTATTATTATTATTATTATTATTATTATTATTATTATTATTATTATTATTATTATTAAGAAGAGACAAGTCTTAGTATGTTGGTATCCAGATATGCAAATAGAGTTGATAAAAACCTGCAGGAATAAACTACAAGATAAGCATCTACACAAAACTAAAGGTGATAGGGATGTCACGTTGTTTTGGGAAGTAAACAAAGGAGTCACACAGAGATCTGAGCCTCTGCAGACCATTTACATGCACTAAAACCTATAGAGAGGGAAAACCCCAAAAAGCAGAATAGGACCTCTTTCAAATGTTAAAATCTAAGCTTTGCAACTCCCTCTAATCTCTCACTGACATCCGACACTATGTTCCAGAAGTCAACAACACAGGGATTTGAGCCTTTGCAGACCATTTACATGCACTCAAACTTATAGAACACACGACAGGAAAGGGAAGACCCCCCAAAAAGCAGAATAGGGCCTCTTTAAAATGTACAGAATCCAAGCGTTACCTCGTAGATGTGGTAGATATCCGATACTATGTTTCAGAAGTAAACACAGGGATTTTAGCCTTTGCAGACCATTTACATGCACCTAAACCTATATCACACTACAGGGAAGGAAACCCCACAAAAAGTAGAATAAGGCCTCTTTAAAATGTTAAAATATATGCTTTGCAACTCCTTCTGATCTCTCACTGACGTAGATGTGGTAGACATCCGACACTATGTTCCAGAAGTTAACTACACAAGGATTTGAGCCTCTGCAGACCATTTACATGCACTAAAACCTATATCACATTACAGGAAAACCCCCAAAAATAAAACAGGTCCTCTTTAAAATGTACAGAATCCAAGCGTTACCTCGTAGACGTGGTAGACATCCGATCCCTCGTCAGGCCAGTAGGGATGACACTGCTTCACCCCATTTTCAGAGAGTGGGGTCAACATGACGACGACAACACAACCACTCTCCCACACCATCTGAAAGTAAACAAACGTTGTTTACTGAAGTGTATTATGTAAGACAACAGAACAATGTGACCATGATTTTATAGGAAAACCAGCAGAAATGACATCTGAGCTGAGAGAAAATACTCAATGTTTAGTTTAATACACACAGTTAAGCTCACACACTGCTAGTAATCCCCATTTATTAAAAGTAATATAGCAGTAATCTGTCTTTGTTGATGGTCACTAGCAGCAGGGGCGGTTCTAGGGGGGGCAGTGCCCCCCTAACACTGACCTCTGACCCTCCTGTGGCCCCCCTAACAATGAAAAGTGTTTTTTTTTTTTTTAATGTATATTTTCTGGTACTCGGTTTGCCAAAAAACGCAGGATTTTGTTGCTGCAATGTGAGATTGTGCAGACACCCTTATGTAAAGTAGAGATGTAACTGTTCATTGCCTTTATGTTTATATAAATATGGTGTTAGTGCAAACATTGCACTATAACTTAAGCTGAAGCTAACAGTAATAACTATAAGATCTATCTGAAATAAATAAGTGTACTGAAACAAATACCAATAACTGTATTGCATTGTTTTCTTATGCGCAATTACTTCATACTGTCTAGTTCTCTTTTTCGTCCTGCATTTATTGTGCCCCCCTCAGAAAATAACTGGCCCCCCAGTCAAATTGGTCTAGAACCGCCACTGACTAGCAGAAGCATGTAGCACGACTTCATTTTCTTGCATTAAAGTGAAATTGATTTCCTAAGTCTGAATAAATGTCGGCGCTCAGCGTGAGACACATGATGGACGCTTGACGTCTGAGTGAAATCACAACAGCTTCATTTCATCTCCTCCTAATCTAACGGGGAGGAAGACGGCCCTCGGCAGCCATTAGGAGAATGAGGAGGAAACGTGGCTTTTATGATTGCTATAAAAACACAATGGCCTCCACTATACACTAATGGTGAGCGTCTGTGATCCGGCCCAGTGGCGCATTACACCGACTGTGTGATGAGATTAGAGATAATGTGGGGGAGTATTACCCATTTAGTCTGGAAAGGGGTTTGGATAGAAGTATTCAGACCCTTAACGTGAGAAAAGCTACTAAAAATACGGCATTTTTACGAAAGATATTCAGGGAATGACCAAAAAACCCCCAAAATGCCAATGAATGTCCTGTAAACCCACTCATTGTTTCAAGTATTTAAATAAATACATCAGATAGTTAAGAACGTGTTTAGAGTTAATGTGGAGGAGTATTACCCATTTGGTTTTGAAAGGGGTTTGCATAGTGCTGTATTCAGACCCTTAACGTGAGAAAAGGCACTAAAAATACGGCATTTTTACGAAACATATTCAGGAAAAACTTACAAAAAAAGCCAATTAATGTCCCGTCAACACACTCATTGTTTTAGGTATTTTAATATAGTATTGGATGGTTTAATATATATAAAAGAAGGTAGGGATAAAAGGTGTTTTCAGATAGTTAAGAACGTATTTTTGTAACAGTTTCTAGGCTCCAAAAAATGAAGAAAACATTTAAAATAATAATAAGAAAAAATACAAAGATTAATAAAAACACAGAAAGGGGATCTTGCAAATTAAAAGCCAATCTAAAAAATATTTTTCAGCTTAAAATGTCCACTGAGTTTTCCTCTGATATTCTCTCATTATATTATGGGATGCAGGGAAGGTGTTTGGAGGATCAGCGCTGCAGTGGATTAGAGAGGATGGAAACAGGCCATTTTCATGACAGTGTTTACTTTTAATGGGGGAGAGAGAGCGGCAACAACCCGGTGTTTACCGTGTGGAATAATGAATAGTTTCTTCCTGCTTCATTGTGCCTGTCTCTATATTCTGCTTAATTGGGAAGGTTGTGTTATTAGTTAATAGATTTTCATCATTTCACCTCGCAGAAACACACATTAATAAACTAAATACAGGAAACAGCTGTTTTGTATCAAAGAGGCTCTAATCTGCTTTTTTCTGGGGTGTTCCCTCTCGTGTAGGTGTTGGTGCATGTAAATGGTCTGCAAAGGCTCCTTGATTAAAGCTGTTCCTGGGGGAAACGTGAGTATTTCACTGCTAAATGTTCCAAAAAAATGCTGCAAAATGAAACAGTTCTCAGCATTTTCGGAGGATATTCAACCTCAGAACCGTAGAATCTTTCTCTAACCCAGGGGGGTCAAACTCAATGTCATCGCGGGCCACATTCGCGTTAAGGTTGCACTCAAAGGGCCGGTTGTAACTATATACATATACATATATTAAATAATGTATTATATTACATTATTGCCTCTGAATTGGATTATTATCGGATAGAATAATACATTCGTAATTAACTACGTCTGAAAGCAGAAGTCCAGGGCAAATAATTGCAAGTCTCTTCAGTGCGCATGTCACAAAACAAGATGCATTGTGGGACATGTAGTTTATGGGCAACCTGCTTCTGTAATGTAACTGTATAATAAACGTATTATATTCTTTGCAAGCTCTTGAGGGGTCACAGAAAATGAAGTCGCAGGCCGGATTTGGCCCCCGGGCCTTGAGTTTGACCCCCCTGCTCTAACCCTATGGAAGCAAACACGAGACAGAATTATTTGAATTTGATCAGACACCGAATTTATAGCATTGAAAATGTTTACTTTGAAAATCATGTATCTGAATTTTTGTGAAATAAAAATCTGAAATATCTTGACACGCAATTTCAAAAGCTGAATTTCAATGTATTTGTTTTCGTGTTCACAAATTCAGATCCCAAAAATTCAAGTTAAAATAATTCAGATACATGATTTTCAAAGTAAACATCTTCAATGCTATAAATTCGGTGTCTGATCAAATTAAAATCATTCTGTCTCTTGTTTGCTTCCATACATGTCGGACCAAAGTCGGTTTTTATCCGAGCATTAGGAAGTAATCCTGTTGTTGAGTTTATTAAAACATTAAAGCTGTGACGTGAAGCTCTGTCTTTGTCTCCTTTTCAGGGAGAAAAACACAAAGAAATGAAATAAAAAAACGGATTGTATTTTCTTGAAAGCGAATATAAGCATATGGACATTTCCCTTGTTCCAAACGTCATCATGTTTGAATATAAATAAGCATTCAGTAACGTCCCCATATGGAGCCAAACGACCCTCTAATTACCACAGTGCGGTCCTATTAACACGTGAAAACGCCATTTGGAGACCATGCATCATTTAAAGCGAAGCTCCACACGAAACGACATGTTTTACAACCGCCGATATGCAGTGATTAACGGCTGGTCCGTGTGACATTTATGGACAAGGGGAGGGGGGGGGTGCAAATATGGGCAAACATTAGCATTATTATGAATATAAGTCGACTTCTTAGAGGTGTGTGTGATGAGACGTATATTTACAGCCAGAAAGCACCGCTTTGATGCATTATGATCACATTACAGCGCCAAGAATACAATTATTTGTCTTTTCACAAATGTGCTTAGTGGCCAAATGGCGGTACTACAACTTCTGTGACGTCCCAAAAAGACTCTTTCCCATTGACTTACATCGGAGAAAGAGACGAGTGTAAATCAGCGGATGATTATTTGTACGAAAACGAGGGGATTATTTGAATCTAAGGTCGTAAACGTTGTCAAATCCAGAGTTGTTTCACCTCTCCATTCGTTGAGGTAAGATGGGCCTTGAAACTAATGATTGGAGGTGAAATGGTCAATGGGCCCAGATACTGGTATATTTGGAGGTGTATTGCCCATTTAGTCTGGTAAGGGGTTAGGATTGTAAGTATTCAGATCCTTGACTTGAGAAAAGGAAAAAAAATACTGCATTTTTACGTAAAATATTCAGGAAAAAGACAAAAGAAATACCCAAAAATGTAAATTAACGTCCCGTCAACAGAGTCATTGTTTTAGGTATTTAAATATAGTATTGGATGGTTTGATATGTAGCAAAGAAGGTAGTGATTAAAGGTGTATTAGCATCTTCAGCTAGTTAAGAACGTGTTTTTTTAATGACGTAAACAGTTACTAGGCTCCCAAAAATGAAGGAAATAGGATGTAAATAAAACTTTAAAAATTACAATAACATAATATGTTATTGTAATTATTTTATTAAAAAATTCGATTAATTTAATTGAGTTTTTATGTATTTTATAATATTTTTAAATATTATATTATTATATTGAAAAATATTATAAAATACAAAAAAATAAATTAAATTAATCGAATTTTTTAATAAAATAATAAGAAAAAATACAAAGATTAAAAAACATATATATATTTGTTTTCGAGAGTTCCTTGCGCCACTGAGCAATCTTCCACACAGCTTTCTTTATACATCCATGTTTATTATGTTCTGAGAAAGTATGAAACAGTAACAGCTGATGGGCTCGTTAGTTTGGATCGATAAGCTGAATATAAAACAATGAAAGGACAGTAGAGATGGTGTTACCTGCCAGAAGTCGGCCACGGTGGAGAGAAGAGGGCCTTGGGAGGAGATGTACGTCGGGTTTCGAGGGTCATGGTCCATCTGGAAGAGAGAGCAGAGTTTTAAGGTAGGGATACACCAAGCTGACACCAAAGAACTCACACAGACGGACCCGACTGTCGCGCCGTCTCTGCGTCTTGGCCATGTGTCGCACTGGAACACACCGACAAGACTTCAGATTCGACATGAAGAATCGGTAGGTTTTCGGCCAAAAAGGTGTCGGCCGAAAAGACATGACGGTGCGGGACACACCGATCTGAGTAGGGCGACAGGACGCTCATCGACGGCCAAAATCGGCTTGGTGTGTCCGGGCCTTTAGACAGAGTTCGGGATTAAAGCTTCAATTTCTGGGTAAATGACGGCCATGAAAGCCGAAAGAACGACAGCATTCATTGATTCTCTGAACGCGTCGTGTGCATTCCTTACTTCCTTTCAAAGAGGTCAGATTGGAATCGCTTTTATTCTTGTATTGTAAACCTGTCTATTTTAGCTGGTTTTAATGTTGATTTTATTCTCATTTCAATGTCATTGTATAATGTGTTTCTGCTGCACTACAGTATATCTCAATGCTTTTCATGATTTGTAAGCCTTGTGTTGAAATGTCTTGCAGAAATGTTAGATATCAGTCTCTTCAAACATAAAAAACCTGAAATCACGATTTAACCCCTATTTAAAATACAACTTTATTGCTATTACCTTCAATAACTTAAGGTTCATTATCTTAAAGCCAGGATTCGGAGGATTACACTCCTCTTATCATGCAATACTGTTTAAAAAAGCATTATAATCCCCTAATCCAGTGGTTCCCAACCTGGGGGGCGCCAAAGATTGCAGGGGGGGTGCCAGGCCTCAGATGATTTGAGGCAAATATCATATTTAGACTTTTTACATATAATTGTAACGCAATACATGATTGTCACTAAAAGCCTTGTCTCTACATTACAATAAAATATACAAAATAATTGACTAATTAATTTTAATAAAAATTCAAGTATTAGTATTAAAGGCATAAAAAGACAGAAATGTATAATTCTTTCTATAGAAATGTTTCTTCTGCCCGTAAAGTGTCCAAACCGGACTTGTCTGGATAAGCGCATGTTTAAAACACAGTCATTGTCCATGCCGGTTTCAGTTGGATTATTTGTCAGTTGCTCCGATCAGATCGGTCTCCTCCATTTTGTAGATTATTTACGACTTTTGAATCCACAGAAACACATCGGCAACATCCGGCTTACTTTGAGCATGTGTTCTAAACAGTTTAATCCCTTTGTGAATTGTTTCCACTTGCGACGTCCATTTCTTCATACAGCGGGAATCCAAATGAATGAATCCTGAGTCCAATAACCATCAAAGTCGCTCCAATAGTGCTCCTTAATTACGCTTTCATCCTCCTTTAACAACATACTTCACATTCATCCAGTTTGTGACAGAAGTTGTTGCATTTTTGAGACTTTGAAACTTTAATTACCGCTGTTGCGCCCCCCCCCTTGTGTGTGTGTGTGGGGGGGGGCGCAACTTCCAACAGTTGTCATTTGGGGGGGCTCTTGGGAAAAAGGTTGGGAACCACTGCCCTAATCTATGTATGTAACTGTCTTACTCCTTTTCATGCAATCTGTTCCCGAAGCCTCAAAGCGAAGCATTCAAAGCTAGAACAGATATTTGTGAAGGATATTTAACTACAAGCTCTTTTACTTCTAACCACTTCATGTCTTTTTGTCCCAGTCTGTCTTCTCCCCACAGAGGAGGACTTCTCTTTCATGTCTCGCTTTAGTATTCATGCAGCGACAGCATGTCTGTGTCCTTGAGATTAGCACTAACATTCATTATTAAAACAAAACCCACAAAAGGAGATTCAACCAGGAAGCATGAAGAGAACATTAAACTCCATGGAACCTAATTGAAGAAGAATGGGGAAGAAAATGCTTCCTAGTTTTGTGCTATGTCTCAAATATTAACATTTCAACAACTGTTGTGTTTTAAAGAGCCACTATTCTGGGGTTGTAGTGTGTTGTTTGGATGTTAGTGCAAGTAAATGGGCTGCAGAGGCTAAAATCTCCTTGATTAAAGCTGTTCCTGTGGAAAAACGTGATTTCACTGAAAAACGTTCCTAAAAAATGCTGCAAAATGAAACAGTTCTTAGTCATTTGGATGATATTCAACCTCAGAATCGCAGTATTGTTCCCAACTTGTTATTAAAATAAACAAGTCGGACAACAGTCGGTTTTATCGGAGCATTACCCCCTGATCCCACCGGAAGCGTCTGCGCCGCGCTGCGACCTCCTCCTGCGTCATAACCCACCAGGCGCATATCAAAACGTTGCGGAAGCGGAGCGTCGTGTGTGCAGCCTCGCAGTTGTTGGATGAACGTTCCACTTCCTGCCTGCGCCGCGTCAAAAATAGGATTCATCCTATATTTTAGAAATTCCTTGCGGCGAGGAGCTTCTGGGACGCTTCGAGCCGCGGGTCTGGTGGAATAGCACCCATTGACTAGAGTGGCCGCGATCGCTAAAATCGCCGCAGCGCAACGCAGCGCAGACGCTCCTGGTGGGATTAGGGGGTTAGGAAATAATCCTGTTGTTGAGATTATGAAAATATTAAAGCCGTGACGTAAAGCTCTGTCATTGTCTCCTTTTAAGGCAGTGTCGAAGAAAAACACTGATTTTAAACTTCTGAGCTCATGTTTGGGGTCCAGTTTGTGAGATACGACCCGGGAGCTTTCCTGACCGCTCGCTGTACCATGAATAACATTTAATGCACCCCCACACCTCCAGTAAAGCAGTGTGTGTCGTCTATCGTGATAAAACCAACCATACATCAACATTCAAAATGACTCCCTGTGAAACATCAACATCTCGGATGCTGTGCGTAAAAACTGCATGCAGGTCAATGTGAACACTCAATCAAATCTTGATCACATCCTTCAAATAAAACGCCCCGACGTCATTATGTGGCCCCTGAACGCCTCACAGAAACAGCCTGAAGCTAACAGACTGATATGGAGATATTTCAAGAGGAAGTGAAGAGTCAACAAACCAAGTGTCTCTACTTTAAAGAGTCCTCTCCTGCTGATGTTCAGGTGTATATCAGTATGTAGTGTCTCTACTTTAAAGAGTCCTCTCCTGCTGATGTTCAGGTGTATATCAGTATGTAGTGTCTCTACTTTAAAGAGTCCTCTCCTGCTGATGTTCAGGTGTATATCAGTATGTAGTGTCTCTACTTTAAAGAGTCCTCTCCTGCTGATGTTCAGGTGTATATCAGTATGTAGTGTCTCTACTTTAAAGAGTCCTCTCCTGCTAATATTCAGGTGTATATCAGTGTGTAGTGTCTCTACTTTAAAGAGTCCTCTCCTGCTGATGCTCAGGTGTATATCAGTATGTAGTGTCTCTACTTTAAAGAGTCCTCTCCTGCTGATGTTCAGGTGTATATCAGTGTGTAGTGTCTCTACTTTAAAGAGTCCTCTCCTGCTGATGTTCAGGTGTATATCAGTATGTAGTGTCTCTACTTTAAAGAGTCCTCTCCAGCTGATGTTCAGGTGTATATCAGTATGTAGTGTATCTACTTTAAAGAGTCCTCTCCTGCTGATGTTCAGGTGTATATCAGTATGTAGTGTCTCTACTTTAAAGAGTCCTCTCCAGCTGATGTTCAGGTGTATATCAGTATGTAGTGTCTCTACTTTAAAGAGTCCTCTCCTGCTGATGTTCAGCTGTATATCAGTATGTAGTGTCTCTACTTTAAAGAGTCCTCTCCTGCTGATGTTCAGGTGTATATCAGTATGTAGTGTCTCTACTTTAAAGAGTCCTCTCCTGCTGATGTTCAGGTGTATATCAGTATGTAGTGTCTCTACTTTAAAGAGTCCTCTCCTGTTGATGTTCAGGTGTATATCAGTATGTAGTATCTCTACTTTAAAGAGTCCTCTCCTGCTGATGTTCAGGTGTATATCAGTATGTAGTGTCTCTACTTTAAAGAGTCCTCTCCTGCTGATGTTCAGGGTGTATATCAGTATGTAGTGTCTCTACTTTAAAGAGTCCTCTCCTGCTGATGTTCAGGTGTATATCAGTATGTAGTGTCTCTACTTTAAAGAGTCCTCTCCTGCTGATGTTCAGGTGTATATCAGTATGTAGTGTCTCTACTTTAAAGAGTCCTCTCCTGCTGATGTTCAGGTGTATATCAGTATGTAGTGTCTCTACTTTAAAGAGTCCTCTCCTGCTGATGTTCAGGTGTATATCAGTATGTAGTGCCTCTACTTTAAAGAGTCCTCTCCTGCTGATGTTCAGGTGTATATCAGTATGTAGTGTCTCTACTTTAAAGAGTCCTCTCCTGCTGATGTTCAGGTGTATATCAGTATGTAGTGTCTCTACTTTAAAGAGTCCTCTCCTGCTGATGTTCAGGTGTATATCAGTATGTAGTGTCTCTACTTTAAAGAGTCCTCTCCTGCTGATGTTCAGGTGTATATCAGTATGTAGTGTCTCTACTTTAAAGAGTCCTCTCCTGCTGATGTTCAGGTGTATATCAGTATGTAGTGTCTCTACTTTAAAGAGTCCTCTCCTGCTGATGTTCAGGTGTATATCAGTATGTAGTGTCTCTACTTTAAAGAGTCCTCTCCTGCTGATGTTCAGGTGTATATCAGTATGTAGTGTCTCTACTTTAAAGAGTCCTCTCCTGCTGATGTTCAGGTGTATATCAGTATGTAGTGCCTCTACTTTAAAGAGTCCTCTCCTGCAGATGTTCAGGTGTATATCAGTATGTAATGTCTCTACTTTAAAGAGTCCTCTCCTGCAGATGTTCAGGTGTATATCAGTATGTAGTGTCTCTACTTTAAAGAGTCCTCTCCTGCAAACGTTCAGGTGTATATCAGTGTGTGTGTGTGTGTGTGTGTGTGTGTGTCCCTTTGTCTCTCTTTGACCTCTGACCCCCAGAAAAAGACCCTCAGATATGTTGCTTGTCGGCTGAAGCTAATGAGGAGGAAGGGGCGGTTTAGACGGAGGTAATTATCACAGTTTTGCTCCGTCTCTTTTGTGGGATAATTACTGTCCTTCCCTCCATGGCCAGTCTTTATTTTATAACCCTCTTCTCCCGCTCGGATTGATCGGCTTTATTATAATATTTTCTTCCCTGTAAAATGGCGAATGTTTCAGGCAGGAGATGGAGGTGTAAATGTTGCTTTCTGGAGAGTAATGGGCTTCGGGGTGCAGCTGTTTTTCCGCACCCCCTCATTTATCTCCTCAGAAAGAAATTGGCAGAGTATTTGAAATGCATAGCTTCCTGTTCCCTTTGATGGAATCCCTCGGCAGCCTCCGGGGAAATCAGGACTGGCAATGTTTGGGGAAATAAATAAATAAATAAAATGTGTAGGCCTCTGTGGATTTAAAGGTGCGACGCATTTGTTTAGTCCCAAAGAGAGATATATATATATATTGCTGATAGAAAAAGGTATCTACAGCACAAATAATCTATAAAATCCTGCCTTCAAATGGAGACATCTTTTAATTTGGAAATAATAACTTGATCATAACGGCAAACATTTGAAATGTTCTCCCTTTTTCTGTATTTCTTTTAATGTTTTATACAGTATCATATTTATGTCGTTATTATCGTCTATATTTGCTCGTCAGGGGTCTTTGAGCACCAGGAAAACACCATGATTATTGATTATGTTCTTCAATGACATGGTGCTTTATAATAAAATCTATTATACTCTGCAAAAATAATAAAAACGTGAAATCCACGAATATCTACGTCTTTTTTTAAATAAATTCTATGCATTTATTTGTATGTTGTTGTCTATAATGCCCTGAGTTTGTGCCTTTTTCTGATGTTGTGTTGAAGCTGTTTTTGTGTGTGTTTTTCCCCTAAAGGTCCCATGTCATGGCCATTTCTACTGATCATAATTCAAATCAAAGTTGAGGTCTACTAGAATAGATGTATACTGTGCAATGTTCCAAACTCTCATTGGTTTCTCACAGCATCTCTGTATAGTCTGTGTATTCACTCTCTGTCATACACGGCTTGTTGGAGCTCCTGCGCCCCCCTCCCTGTGAGCCCATGGCCGTCTGCGAGACAGCGAGACACAGCCCGAAACACACACACACACCCCCGCAGCCTGGCTGGGAGTTTGTGTGTGTGCCCAGGCTGAGTTCCTCGGTGTCTCGCTGTCTCGCCGACCCCACACCAGCTCACTGGTGTGGGGTCGGCGAGACAGCGAGCCTCGCAACGTCCCGCCGAATGTGAGGAAGTCCGCGGATTGGTCCAAACGTAACGGCTCCGCAGATTGGTTAATTTGGACCAATCTGCGGAGCCGTTACGTTACGTCACTGAACCCAGGAAGTAAACAATGGAAAAAGAGAAATGTCCAACGAGGCGTTCTGGGGCAGCAGACAGGTCTTCTCTGTGTTAGAGTTTTACTCGCTACAGGGTGTACTTTGAGGGTTTGTGACTCTGCAGACCGTTTACAAGCAGAAGCTTCAGAACACAAGGGGACGGGTGATAACCGGAAAAGCTTGACATGAGACCTTTAGATGCAGACGTTTTTGAGGAAAGCTTGAATTCAAATGCTTCTATTATCAGATTAGATTACATGTCACTTGTTAGACGCTTTTACCAACTCAATACTGTGGGGATTACAAACCTCGTTGACGACAGATATTATAATGAAAGCTGTATTATACTCACTATGGGACTGGCGTTGATGTAATCTGAGTTCCCGAGGTTATTCTCCACCTTCAGCGTGATCCTGGAGTGGTCATCTGTGAGAGGACATGCATTATTTACTAACCAATATTCCTCTCGTCTGAACACAATAACAGCAAGCGGAGGAAATGAGAGGATCGGCTGCAGGCTCTTCAATTTCACCAGACTTTCATCATGCATTAAACAACTGATTTGAAGTCTGCTCCACCTTCAATACGGAGGGGAAATAATTACAAATATCTGATCTGGAGAAGCTGGAAAATCCTCTTTTTTAAAACAAAGATAATCTGTTTGAGACTCAGTAGTCTTCTTCAACACATTTGCTTTAAAGTAAAAGACCCTAAATCTTGGCATCAAATGTTTTTGTGACTAAATGACCAGAAATCAAAGTTTAAAATGTGTTATTTATGATGAGAAACAGTTAAAAACTCTGCTCCATCAGGACTGTAGAAGTGGTTTGATCCAATTTGACTGACAGTACTCAAAGTCAATATGTTTCTAGAATGGTTTAATCCAAAACCCAATGGTCTAAACCCATTGGCTGCCCAGTGTGATGCTATTTCACAGGTTAGCAACTAGGCTACGTCCATCTCAAATCAGCTTAAGTGGAATATTACTCGGAGTAAGAGCTTATTTAGGGTATATTAAACCAAATCAATCTTAAAGTAATTGACAGTTAACTAAGCCCCGCCCACCTGAGTTAGTATTGCTAGGATTTTGCAGATTTAGCTATAATTCATAGATTGCTTCAAACCTCTTCAGTATTAACCACAGACGTTATTCTAAAAACACATTCAGAAAACCATTGACTTCCAGAACAGGTGACAGGAAGTGCTCAATACTGAGTAATCTCTGGGTTTAACACCTTGTTGTTGGCTTCGAAACCCCCCAACAAAAACCACTGAATAGACATTAGGGTTGACTCACATACGACCACGGCGTCGGAGCGGTTCTTCCTGGAGTTCTGCTCTCCGTGTCCGACGCTCCAGGCTCCGGGTTCGGCCTGATACGAACACAAAGCCTCCCATTCCCGCTCCAGACGGTTCTTGTTCTTCAGGTGGTCCTCCATGTACGACTGGGGGGGGAAACAGATACCAGGTCAGCCTTTAAGGTCATGCAAAATTCACATCTTCATGTCTCTTCTACATCAACATGTGTCCCCTCTTCTCCATGTCTCTTCTACATCAACATGTGTCCCCTCTTCTTCATGTCTCTTCTACATCAACATGTGTCCCCTCTTCTTCATGTCTCTTCTACATCATCATGTGTCCCCTCTTCTTCATGTCTCTTCTACATCAACATGGTGTCCCCTCTTCTTCATGTCTCTTCTACATCAACATGTGTCCCCTCTTCTTCATGTCTCTTCTACATCAACATGTGTCCCCTCTTCTTCATGTCTCTTCTACATCAACATGTGTCCCCTCTTCTTCATGTCTCTTCTACATCAACATGTGTCCCCTCTTCTTCATGTCTCTTCTACATCAACATGTGTCCCCCTCTTCTCATGTCTCTTCTATATCAACATGTGTCCCCTCTTCTTCATGTCTCTTCTACTATCAACATGTGTCCCCTCTTCTTCATGTCTCTTCTACTATCAACCATGTGTCCCCTCTTCTTCATGTCTCTTCTATATCAACATGTGTCCCCTCTTCTTCATGTCTCTTCTATATCAACATGTGTCCCCTCTGTGGAAAGAGACTCTGAAAGTTTCAGGAACAAAGATTCTCTCTTTTTGATCCATTTCTATAAAAACCTGTCTGAAAATGAGCTGATCAGATTTTGGCCACTTTATGATGTCATAACGATGTGTTGTCTTGTGTAACCATTAGCCAATCAGCAACCAAGGTAACCCCCTTATCACCTGAATCTCCTCCTAGAGCACCATTGAGTTCTTTGTAACCAAATCTCTCTCAGAGAGGCGTGGGGAGGGGCTCCTTATTTTCATCTAAAGCAGGGGTGGGGAACCTCCGGCCCCCAGGCCGTATATGGCCCGCGAGACAATTCGATACGGCCCTCGAGGTAATTTATAAACACAAGCAAAAAAGAAAAAATTAAAGAAATCTAGACCGCAAAAAAATTAAACAAGCGAGTGCCTGTTTTTCCTGGCCACAGTCAGGGTCCTTGAACACAACACGAGCCTAACGTGTCATCACGTGGTATATGTCTCGACTGACACGTGCTGAAGGAGAGCATCGGAACGCCGCTCGGTACTTCTAAAAATTGCAGTAGGCTACTCATAAGGAGCCGTACAGATGCTGCAGTTTCTGCGTGGCTGTGTCTTAGTTGAAAGCCCAGTGTCGATCTGTCACACTGATCATACAGTCAATAACTTTGTTATTAGCATCTGGTTAGCTAGCTATGCTAACGAATATAAGAAGCTTTTTCTACAACCAGTGAGGTAAAGGCACATCTTTATATGATCATTATAGTTATAAAAACATAAGAGAATAAAGTAAACAGGTATAAAATACTATATGACGGTAAAAAAAAGTTGTTATTAATAAAGAAGAATACAGTTTGAAAGGAGAGTGATTTGTAAAATATCCATAAAGAAAAAAAATCTGCTTCCAGTTCTGTTTTCATCTGGGTGTTGAGAGATGTGTCCATAGATCTCCTAATGTTGCTCTCAAAGTGCACCAGATTGATGCTTTTAACTTCAACATTTAAACAAACATCTTCCCGGGGGAGCATGCCCCCCCCGGACCCCCCTAGAGGAGGTTAGGTCCCCCCCCACTTAAATCATGTTCACATGGATAGGAAAGTAAATACATTTGCACACATCTTGTGTCCATATCTTTCTGCTGTGGTGGTCATGCCACACCGTGCACGTGCATACGCGAGTCATGGTGAGATCTCTGGATTGAGAGGTTGCTTCTTCTTTGCACAGAATGAAAGAAAGGCCAAATGAATGGCTGTGATTTTTAAGCAGAGGTCAATCATTTGTACGGCCCTCGGAGGATGTTGAAAAAATTGAAATGGCCCTTGAGAGGAAAAAGGTTCCCCACCCCTGATCTAAAGTAACAGACAGAGAATCAGCACTTTGGAAACAGGGCTGAAACAGAGGGGATTATGGGTAATGCTGCAATGATCGGTTTGGTGTTTCAGCCAATCAGAGACAGGCTCTGGATATATCTGAGATCTGTCATATATTGATGAAGAACAGTATAATAGGGGACCTTTAACTCAATTTCATCGCGGCATATCAGCATCATGGTTGCACTCAAAGAGATGCATTGTGGGACATGTAGTGCTTCTGTAAAGCGGCATTTAACCGTATAATAAACGTAATATATTATTTGCAAGCTCTTGACACCGCTGCTGTAAAAAGACAATGTGTTTTCCAACAGCCTCTCTCCATTACAGCCACAACCAGGTGTCATGGAGCAACACTGTCCCACTGTAAGCTTTTGTGAGGTGAGGAAGGTGTGCAAAGTGTGTGTGTTTTTAACCGACAAACAAACACACACAATTAAGGACTCCTGAAAGGTTTGTCTTTGCATTGTGGCGTTCCCATCACTGCTCGCTCAGATAAGATTGTCTGCATTTTAAGCCGTTCGCTTGGAGAAGACAAAATTGAATTCGCCAGAGAGACAAAGATGGAAAAAGGAGAGGGGGAAGGGTGTGTGTTTCTGTGTGTGTGTGTGTGTGTGTTTCTGTGTTTCTGTGTGTGTGTGTGTGTGTGTTTCTGTGTTTCTGTGTGTGTGTGTGTTTCTGTGTGTGTGTGTGTTTCTGTGTGTGTGTGTGTTTCTCCCAAACCAGGGCAAGTCTTAAGGAAGCTTTGCAAGACGAGGATCTTTTGTAGCGTCTTCCTAGTCTCCTGTATCATAGCTCCCCCCCCTCCCGATGGGGTTAAATGGTTTAGTCCGCCATTGTGTGAGGCAGGAGATTACAGACTCATACACTGGTGTCAGGGATCAGCTGGCTGACACAATGAAAGTGAAACCCAGAGGTTTGTGTCCCGTATTAAAGAGGGTGTAGTGAGGCTGAGCACAGAGGTGACGCTCCATTGTTCCACCCGACATATTCACTCTTTAAAAAGGGGATATATACAGTCAATCCTGCAAAGGTGCGAATCACAAATAAGCTCGTCCAACACATAATAGGCAATTACTCTGTGATGGATCATGAGTGCACATATCCTGTTAAATAAGAACATTACAAAGTGTGCAGACAATAGAAATCACAGTTATTGTTCAGGACTGAAGAGGCCACTAAGGCCGCAGTGAGGACAGAATAAGAGACTGCTGTGATTTACAATGAGAGCACTATGTGAACCTGAAGGGATGTTTCTGCTTTTATGCTTTGAACTGTATTTTTAGGCACGCGGAAAGCGATTTATATTTAAAGTCCACTCTAGAGGTGGAAGAAGTACTCAAACCCCTCTTTTACCATGTGATGAACCCATGAACGCCTTAATAACCATTACAATGTATGATGTATTAAACGTGCGGTGGCCTAGAGGTAGAAACGTGCTACATAGGTTCAGAAAACGAACCTATGTGCTCTTGCAAGAGAAGGCTGCGAGACCAAGTAATGCAGGAGACAGGGTGGTGTATGCTGGAATCCTGAAGTCACATGAAATACCTTTTAAGACCTCATCGCCACTTTGAGTTTTAACCGGTTACCTTGGCGACACACTTTACCTCACATTTACTATATATGTATTGATTGTCCTTCCTCCTTATCTTCCAACCATTTGCGGTATTTTTGGAACTTTAAGTATTTTTGGAACTTTAAGTATTTTTGGAATTTACGGTATATTTGGAACTTTAAGTATTTTTGGATCTTTAAGTATTTTTGGAACTTTAAGTATTTTTGGAATTTACGGTATATTAGGAACTTTAAGTATTTTTGGAATTTACGGTATATTAGGAACTTTAAGTATTTTTGGATCTTTAAGTATTTTTGGAACTTTAAGTATTTTTGGAATTTACGGTATATTTGGAACTTTAAGTATTTTTGGATCTTTAAGTACTTTTGGAACTTTAAGTAATTTTGGAATTTACGGTATATTTGGAACTTTAAGTATTTTTGGATCTTTAAGTACTTTTGGAACTTTAAGTATATTTGGAACATTAAGTATTTTTGGAACTTTAAGTATTTTTGGAATTTACGGTATTTTTGGAACTTTGGACCCTTTCCATACATTTTAAGACTCATCTCCACTTTGAGTTTTAACCGGTTACCTTGGCGACACACTTCACCTCACATTGACTATATGCAGTATTGATTGTCCTTCCTCCTTCTCTTCCAACCATTTGGACGCAGACTTGCATTTCCCCATAACGATGTTGCTTAGCAACCGGCGTAAACGGAGCTTCGCGCTATCAAGCAGTGAGCGCGCGATGTCCTGTTCAGATGACGTCAAACCCAACGGGATGCCATCAATAAACTACACAGAATCACACTACACACCTACGCCATGACTACATTCAGGCAGACTGTAGAATACAACCTCTCTGGATACTTTATATACTTATTGAAAACAAGCTACAACATTTAATACCTTGGAAAATACCGTTTAATATTTTTTAATAGCCTTAATTTTCGCTAAATTAATTGATCAACTTGTAATACTTTTTAAGACCCCGCGGACCCCCGGAGGAGAAGATATCGATATACAAGTAACATAGAATCAGATGAGATATAAATGAAATGCTGTACAGTGAGATAAAGAACTCTTATTGTAATTATAGATAAATATATGAGATGCAAACAGACGAATGGTAAGTACTTAAGAGCAGTACTGGATTAAATGTTGTTACCACTGGTCAACTCTCAATGTGTGTGTGTGTGTGTGTTGTCGTACACACACACACACACACACACACACACACACACACAAACACACACACACACACACACACACACACACACACACACACACACACACACACACACACTCGATCGATTGCTTTCCAGACTCATACCCCTGCAGATGTAATGCCATGCAGGCGGCGGACCGTGGCCTTTTCTTCCAGAAGTAACAAAGCTTTGCTGAATGGGGGGGATTATGTCTGCCAATCAGAAGGCTGGGATAACAATGTCTAATCCCCCCTGAGCAGAGAGGCTGCT